ATGATTATTTGAAGGTTGGCGTTTTTTGTATTAAAAACACTTGTCTTTCATTGGTGGGATGAAATATGCTAATTTTTTGGGACAGGCATTTTGGGTTTTCATGAGCTGTATGCCATAATCATCAGTATTAAAACAATTAAAGACCTGAAATATTTCAGTTGGTGTGCAATGAATCTGAAATATATGAAAGTTTCATTTTTATCATTACATTATGGAAAATAATGACCTTTATCACAATATGCTAATTTTTTTAGAATGACCTGTAATAGCACTATGAAAGTAAAAAAAAAAAAAAAAAAAAAAAAAAAGTTATTTCACAATTATGTAAATTTGAATATTGCACATTATGTATATTAGTGAGGTAGTTAAGAGGTAAGGTGATTAAGAGTATGAAATGTCAGTAGTATTGCCCAGTAGAAGTCCAGGGGTTTGGGAGGTTAGATTATTAAATCAGTGCATATGTGAGTTCAGCGTGGTAATGGCTTTCGGGGGGAAAAAAAACTGTTCTACCATTAGAACCATTAGAATATAGAATTATTAATTACATTTTACATGTTTCTTATGACCGTTTAGATGTATTTTTTTTAATAAGGTTTGCTGAAGTGTACATAGATTAATAGTGACAGACTGGATATTGCTGCATTTTTAATTTCATGCTGGGGAAAATGTATTATCACAAAGCTAAACATTTAATTTTGTTATAGCCACAAAAATGATCTAATGTGTGATGGTTAAAAATTTATTTGGTCATAATTTCTGGAAGATTTATAGATACCATTTTATATTCTCAGCAGGAATGAACCTTTTCTACATTCTACTGCACATATTTTGCACACAGTTTTATTTATTTTATTTTTTTTTCAGTTTTTTTATTTCTTTTGTAGTCTCAGGGAAGCTGTCCTAGTCAACAACGAGTCAGTACATTTGGTGTGCAGGTCTTTCACCCACTCAGACATAGCTCAGCCAGTCAGCTGATAAATCTCGACAATGTATAGATCTAAGCTTTAATCGTTAAAAAAAGGTTAAAATGCACAAATAATGAAAAATATCCATAAGTCAAGTCAGTTAGGTATTTGCTTGGTCTTTTTCAAAATTGTCTGTTTATTAACTTTTGGCCTTTCAAAATCAAAAAAAAGTTTATCTGTAAAATGAGAGCTTGTACAGAAAGTGGTCGCTTCTGTTGACGCCCAGCTGACTATACTGGGTGCTGTATAATATAGTGGATTATGGAGTATGAACCTTGATATAATATACTGTTTGGGTATTAGTTTGTATTCCATCCTCCCAGGGCTCCTCTTCACCACTGCTGTCCACTGTGTGCACATTTTAAAGAAAGCAGGAGCTGCAGCTGAGACTCGGCAAACATCAAACATTTTATTTAAACTTTTTTTCACCTTCACCTTCTGTTTTACTGATACTGATGTAAATAAAAAGTAATTAAGCCTGTTGGGTAACCCACTAGCTGTCTTGGGTTTTGTCTTGGTAACCTGATTTTTAATCTGGACCTTTCTTACACACTGATGCAGCCATACGTACACCAAAGTGGACGCCTGTACCACATTCATGTTTCAAGTTATCCAGTTCACAAGATTGTGAGAGTGGGGGTATTTGTTTTTCCCCATTTTCACTCTGCAATGGGAGACACAAAGTGTGCCAGTTAGGACAGCACAACTAAAAATGTCCATCTTCATTACACAATCATTATGGCAAAGGCCTCTGTACCACATATACGTAAATGTGTTGTGCTTTCATGCACTACCTGCCAAAAGCTTATTCAACTAATGTATTGGACCTTCTCTGTTCTTTATACCCACACCTGGCTTAGGTGGTTGTGATAAAACGCACAGGGTTGTGAGTGTCGTGACAACAGAACAGAAAGAGCGGAGTGAGGAAAATGTCAGAATCAGAGACTCTTTATTTGTCTTACACACCACATGTGGTACTGTGGTGGAGCAAAATTATGTACACAGGGTCCCAGTTACATCCAACAATAAAATGTAAAAGAAAAACAATGATAACATCTAAGATATGACCTAAGAAAAACATCAACTAAATATACACTAAGCACTAATGGCATAAAACATTACGTCAAACAGCAGCACGAACATGAGCATGAGTCTGTGTGAGCAGATGAGCACGCATGAACACAGCAACATGAAACAAATCAGCAGCAACATGAAACAGATCAGCAGCAACATGAAACAGATCAGCAGCAACATGATGTGATTTTTCACAGTGATTATTCTGGTTAGAGATTCATGAGTCTAACAGCCTCAGGGTAGAAGATGTTCCTCAGTCTAGTGGTTCTACACTTAATGCTCCTTAACCACCTTCCTGAGGGGAGTGGGGCAAAAAGTGTGTGTGCTGGGTGAGTGGGGTCCTTCATGATGCAGGTGGCCCTCTTCCTGAATCTAGAGGTGTAGATGTCTGTGATGGTGGGGAGGCTGACTCCAACAGTCTTCTGTGCAGCCTTCACCACTCTCTGCAAAGCTTTTCTTTCTGCAGCTGTGCAGCCTCCATGCCACATGTTGATGCTGGAGCACAGGATGCTCTCCACTGCACACCTGTAGAAGGAGGTGAGGACTGAGCTTCCCAGACCAGCTTGTCTCAGCCGTCTGAGGAAGTAAAGTCTCTGATGAGCTTTCTTGATCAAGCTGGAAGTGTTGTTGCCTCAGCTGAGGTTGTCATTCATGTGTAGACCCAAGAACTTGTAGCTGGAGACCACTTCCACCGCAGATCCTCATGTTCAGGGGTGTATGGGTGTGTTTTTTCCTTCAGAAGTCCACAATCATCTCCTTTTGTCTTCTTCACATTGATGTGAAGGTTATTCTCTTTGCACCAGCTCTCCAGGTGTTCCACCTCCTGCCTGCATCTCCTTATATAAGGAGCAGTATGTATAGACTAAACGTGGCATATAATGATGGCATGCAGATTTTTTCATTCAACCTTTATTTAGACAGGTAAATCCCATTGAGCCTCGAGGACTCATTTACAAGAGAGACCTGATTTCAACAAAGAAAGATGACAACAATGGACAACAGCAACAACAATAAACAATTATAAAAAGTAATACTGCAGTTTTTTTTGTTGTTTTTTTTACAAATAGGATGGCTAAAAGAAAAAGGTAACAAAAAAAAAA